TCTCTTTATATACAGTGTAATTTATATTTATTTAATAATCCGACCATCTGAGAAAGTTTTGTATTCATAAGTCTCTATTCAACTTTGCCTGATCGTCGACGCACTTCCTGGCCAATGCCATGAGTATGACAATAAACTACATCATTCTGATTGGGAGAATTGAGGTTTTGCGGAGCCTGAAACCAACCCTTAATTGCCGCTGTTCCCAGGTTCACCTTGACTATGGATGATAACACTAGTTATGGTCCCAGCTATTGCCAAATAGACCCCTAGCCCAATAAAAGAAATGAAAGTATAAAATATATTTTTATTGTAAAAATACCAGCAAATAGTTTTATATAAAAAAGGCCGACAAGAGATGACCAGAAATATATTTTATCTGTAATCAAAAACATACAATTGCGTTTAAATATATATTTAGTTGAAGTCATAAAATTGTGTTCCAATTATTTAGATCCCGGCACTAAATAATCCATTGTTAAAATGATAAGATTTCTCGAAATTTTCAGGCCGTTAGACGAAAATAAATAAATATACTGTTTAATAAATAAACGTATCGTCTACTAAAATATGGGTATCTACTAAAAACTTTTAAGCAATACAATTATATAGTGTATAAGAAACCAACTTACATAACCTATTTTAAAACACATATTAAATGATACATCAGTCAGTTATGTACTATGCGTGATACGCTCTTAGGCGATAATGTATCTTTCGATGCAGGAAAGACGAGAGAGATTTTTTTCCGCAGTAGGTTGCCATTTCTTTCTGCAGTAGACCATTTGCCATCCAAGGCTGTAGAACCCGGTCTGTCCTGCATATTTACACATAGCCTGGAAAGAAGAAGAGGCTTCATACCTTTCCCAATATAGGTGAACGTGACGGATTCGACTGGAATTACGAACACGGCTCTCCGATACCTCAATCTAAGCTGCTATCCATTATTCAACCGTCAGCGATTATAATATCTATTTTATAATCAACAGAAACGATATTTAAATACAACTTTCAACACCTTCGAAATATTAAAGGGAAAAATGGACACTTTAACAAGTATCAAATACTGAACGGTTTAATGAAATGAAAAAGAGATTCTTGGCAGACAAATTTAGCCCCACGGAAATTTATTAATATTTTAATAGGGACATGTTTCTTTAACTTGCTTTCTTCTCTGTTTCTTTCTACCTCTTTTTTATAATTAATTTTTCGTGCATGCATAAAACGCCTGCATTTTTTTTTTTGTTTATTTCAATGTTGTCCTTTTATTTAGCTTATCACTTCTATGAAATCGATTATTGACATTTGACTAAGCAACACTTTTAAGAATGGAAATCTCTGTGACAGAAACACTCTTAGGATCGATTTTCTTAGACATTTTTTCTTAGAAAATCAGATTTAGGTTTATTCAGTTTTCCCCATTATTTCCTTCTAGTTTGCAAATATTTCCTCCGCTCTCATTTTCATTCTCACCTCACCTTTCCCTTATTTCATTTCTCTCGACATTCTTTTCTCTCTCCCCTCTCTTATTCCTTCCCAGTCGCTTTTCTCTTTTATTTCCTCAATTATTAAATCCTTCTTACATTTCTTTTTGCAATCTCACTTATTTCTTCCCCCTTATCATTCTTTTTCTCCACTCCCTCTGTCTTTTCCTCCTACCTTTCTTTTTCTCCACTCCCTTATTCCTTTCCTCCTACAATTCTTTTTTCTCCACTCACTCATTCTTTCCTCCTACCTTTCTTTTTCCCCACTCCCTCATTCCTTTCCTTCTACCATTCTTTATTCTCCACCCCCTCATTCCTTTCCTCCTACCATTCTTTTTTCTCCACTCCCTCATTCCTTTCCTCCTACCATTCTTTTTTCTCCACTCCCTCATTCCTTTCCCCCACCATTCTTTTTTCTCCACTCCCTCATTCCTTTCCTCCTACCATTCTATTTCTCCACTCCCTCATTCTTTTCCTCCTACCATTCTTTTTTCTCCACTCCCTCATTCTTTTCCTCCTACCTTTCTTTCTTCTCTACTCACTCATTCCTTTCCTCCTACTATTCTTTCTTCTCCACTCCCTCATTTCTCCCCTCTTACCTTTCTTTTTCTCCACTCCCTCATTCTTTTCCTCCTACCTTTTTTCTTCTCCACTCACTCATTCCTTTCCTCCTACCTTTCTTTCTTCTCCACTCACTCATTCCTTTCCTCCTACCATTCTTTTTTCTCCACTCCCTCATTCCTTTCCTCCTACCATTCTTTTTTCTCCACTCCCTCATTCTTTTCCTCCTACCATTCTTTTTTCTCCACCCCCTCATTCCTTTCCCCTTACCATTCTTTTTTCTCCACTCCCTCATTCCTTTCCTCCTACCATTCTTTTTTCTCCACTCCCTCATTCTTTTCCCTCCTACCATTCTTTTTCTCCACTCCCTCATTCCTTTCCCTCCTACCATTCTTTTTTCTTCCTTTCCCCTCATTCCTTTTTCCCCACCATTCTTTTTTTTTCTCAACCCTCCCTTTCATTCCATTCTTTTTCCCTCCCTACCATTCTTTTTCTCCACTCCCTCATTCTTTTCCTCCTACCATTCTTTTTTTTCCACTCCTCATTCTTTTCCTCCTACCATTCTTTTTCTCTTTTTCCTCTCATTCCTTTCCTCCTACTATTTCTTTTCTTCTCCACTCCCTCATTTCTCCCCTCCTACCTTTCTTTTTCTCCACCCCCATTCTTTTCCTCCTACCTTTTTTTCTTCTCCACTCCTCATTTCTTTCCTCCTACCTTTTTTTCTTCTCCACTCACTCATTCCTTTCCTCCTACCTTTCTTTCTTCTCCACTCACTCATTCCTTTCCTCCTACCATTCTTTTTTCCACTCCCTCACTCCCTCATTTTTTTTTCCTTTTTTTACTCCTACCATTCTTTTTTCTCCACTCCATCATTCCTTTCCTCCTACCATTCTTTTTTCTCCTTTCCCCTCATTCCTTTTTTCCCCTTACCATTCTTTTTTCTCCACTCCCTCATTCCTTTTCCTCCTACCATTCTTTTTTCTCTCCCTCCCTCATTCTTTTCCTCCTACCATTCTTTTTTTTTCTCCCTCCCTCATTCCTTTCCTCCTACCATTCTTTTTTCTCCACTCCCTCATTCCTTTCCTCCTACCATTCTTTTTTCTCCACTCCCTCATTCCTTTCCTCCTACCATTCTTTTTCTCCACCCCTCATTCTTTTCCTCCTACCATTCTTTTTTTTTCCACTTCCCTCATTCTTTTCCCTCCCTACCTTTCTTTCTTCTTTTTCTCCCTCCTCATTCCTTTCCTCCTACCTTTCTTTTTTCTCCATTCTCCCTCATTTCTCCCCTCTTCTTTCCTTTTCTTTTTCCCACTCCCTCATTCTTTTCCTCCTACCTTTTTTTTTCTCCACTCCTCATTTCTTTCCTCCTACCATTCTTTTTCTTTCCCTTTCTTTTCCTCTCACCATTCTTTTTCTCCCCTCATTCCTTTCCTCCTTTTTTCTTTTTTTCTCCACTCACTCATTCCTTTTCCTCCCACCCATTCTTTTTCTCCATTCTCCCCTCATTCCTTTTTTTCTCCTACCATTTTTTTTTCCATTCTTCTCCATTCCTCATTCTTTTCTCCTCCTACCATTTTCTTTTTCTCCACCCCTCATTCCTTTCCCCCTTACCATTCTTTTTTTCCACTCCCTCATTCCTTTCCTCCTACCATTCTTTTTTTCTCCACTCCCTCCCCTGATTCCTTTTCTCCTACCATTCTTTTTCTCCACTCCCCTCATTCTTTTCCTCCTACCATTCTTTTTTCTCCACTCCCTCATTCTTTTCCTCCTACCTTTCTTTCTTCTCTACTCACTCATTCCTTTCCTCCTACTATTCTTTCTTCTCCACTCCCTCATTTCTCCCCTCTTACCTTTCTTTTTCTCCACTCCCTCATTCTTTTCCTCCTACCTTTTTCTTCTCCACTCCTCCTCATTCCTTTCCTCCTACTATTCTTTTTTTTCTCCACTCCCTCATTTCTCCCCTCCCTACCTTTCTTTCTCCACTCCCCTCATTCTTTTCCTCCTACCTTTTTCTTCTCCACTCCTCATTTCTTTCCTCCTACCTTTCTTTCTTCTCCCACCCTCATTCTCTTTCATTCCTTTCCTCCTACCTTTCTTTTTCTCCACTCACTCATTCCTTTCCTCCTACCATTCTTTTTCTCCACTCCCTCATTCCTTTCCTCCTACCATTCTTTTTTCTCCACTCCCTCATTCTTTTCCTCCTACCATTCTTTTTTCTCCACCCCCTCATTCCTTTCCCCTTACCCATTCTTTTTCTCCCTCATTCTCCCTCATTCCTTTTCTCCTTTCCTCTTCCTCTCTTTTTTTTTCTCCACTCCCTCATTCCTTTCCTCCTACCATTCTTTTTCTCCACTTCCTCATTCTTTTTCCTCCTACCATTCTTTTTTCTCCACCCCTCATTCTTTTCTTCCTACCTTTCTTTCTTCTCTACTCACTCATTTCTTTCCTCCTACTATTCTTTCTTCTTCACTCCCTCTTTTCTCCCCTCTTACCTTTCTTTTTCTCCACTCCCTCATTCTTTTCCTCCTACCTTTTTTCTTCTCCACTCACTCCTTTCTTTCCTCCTACATTTCTTTCTTCTCCACTCACTCATTCCTTTCCTCCTACCTTTCTTTCTTCTCCACTCACTCATTCATTTTCATTCTAGCTTTCTTTTTTTCTCCACTCTCTCATTCCTTTCCTCCTACCTTTCTTTTTTTCCCTTCACTTATTTATTTCGCCTCAGCATTCCTTTTCTCCCTTCATTTATTCCTTCCATTTTACCTTTCTTTTTTCGTCCCCTTATTCCTACGTCTGACATTTTTATTTGATCCCGCCTGTATTCCTTTCCACTTAACTCGCTTTTTCATCTCCTTTATTCCTTCTCTTTCTTTCGTTCTTTCTTTCTTTCTTTCTTTCCTCTTTCCTTTTTTTTTCATTTTCTCCATCTCAATGTTTTTTTTTTCTTTTTATTAAATCTCTTTCTTCTCATTTACTTTTCTTTCGCGGCTATGCAACCTCGGGCAAAGCTTATCTAATATAGCCACTGGACTTTAAAATAACTGTCAAGGTGTACGGAAGCACTTAACACATACCTTCTCAGCCTTAGATATTGACATCTGACTGCAGAAATGAATGTTTCTCTTTGTACGTGTGCCTTAGAATTATTGCTACCGATTGAAATTCGTAGTTATTAGAAGAAGTAGTGGAGAAGCAAAAAATAAGTTAAAAATGTTTATTGCCGTGTCAATAGATGTCTAGGTTATTTTTGGAGTTCTATTAGCAAAAAACAGGAACATGTACCAAAAGAAAAAGTAAATGACATGAAAAACTTTGTAAAGAACTCTCCTTAAATGAATGAAATATATTCACTAGATTATCCGTAGTAGATTTGCGTTCAGGAACTTAAAAAATTTCTATTTCTTGTCAGAAATTCTTGTTCAGAAAAATTGTATTATCACAATGTAGGATATTCAATAACAAAAGAAACTAAATGAAGTTGGTTAGACCCTATACCCAAACACATATTTGAAAAAAAAAGATTAAATTTAAAATATTCAATTTCAGCATATATATATATATATATATATATATATATATATATATATATATATATGAATAAAATGAAAATAGGTAAACTGGTAATTGTTAACGCGTTTTCGTCAATGTGGACTTTATCAAAAAAAAATACGAAAATTCATTTTCGTATTTTGCTTTGATAAAGTCCACATTGAACGAATTTCGTATTTTTGATAAAGTCCACATTGGACGAAAAGCGTCAGCAATCATGAGTTTCCTATTATCATTTTTATTCATAAATTTTGTCTTTTCTACTGGTTAAATTGGAGAAATTTTCATATATATATATATATATATATATATATATAAATATATATATATATATATATATATATATATATATATATATATATATATATATATATATATATATATATATATATATATATATATATATATATATATATATATATATATATATATATACATATATATATATATATATATATATATATATATATATATATATATATATATAAATATATATATATATATATATATATATATATATATATATATATATATATATATATAATATATATATATATTAATATATATTTATATATATATATATAAACTGAAATGGACTAAATCCAACTTCTTCCATTTCATAATAATTTAATATATTTTCTGTTTACACGTTATTTTTAGAGACACAAATATATAAGTAAGTCCTCTGTATCTAATAAACAGTATTAACAACAATTAGCGGCCTGAATGGCCGAGAAATTTCATAGAAAATATGTGACCTGACAAGAATCGAACCTGCATATTACATGTTTGTTATTTGTTCTATTACATTTGTAAATCAATTTTTGATGATCTGTATTAACTACTTATTAAGTAAAATGTGATTATTTGTTATTGCCTAATAACTTCAGACGACATTTATTTGTAGAATAAATAAACTTCAATGAAACAAATTGTTAGTACCTAAATTTTCACCTCAGGATTTGTTTTGACATCTAAGTAGATTGTTTAAAATTTCGCAATCCTTTCATCAAACCAAAATTTAACTTTATAATTTCTGCTTAAAAACTTTAGACATGGTATATATATATATATATATATATATATATATATATATATATATATATATATATATATATATATATATATATATATTCATGATAGAATAAAGTGACTGAAATGCCCATTTCGCTTCGAAGGGCATTCTTATATTTATAGCAGACAAAAGACAGGTATATAAATAACGGATTCAACTAGTCCATATTACATGCATTGTGAGTCTTCATACCAGCCTCTGATCGTCCTCGGGAGGCCGTTAAACTAAATCCGCTGTCTTGGTAAGACGATAAACTAGATCCAGCAGCAAGTCCTCTGATCAGGAGGTTTTGAGCAGCGTGGAACGAACTTTTCATTGCTAGTATTCCCAGTTCCACGCTGAGCCAGGGTGGTAGCACCTGTTAGGGTCCCAGCTATCGGCAAATAGTTAACTATTACAAGCAATACTTTTTGGAAAAAATATTATGACCAATACAATTTTGAAGGACAAATATTACCAGAAACAGATTTTTGACAAATATATTTACCAGCAATAGAAAATATTGTCGGCAGTAAATAACCCATGGAGGTTGATGTACCGTAAAACAAAATAAACCAAACCAATCTAAACGAAAGAATACATATACTATTCATACGAATCTATCCTAAAATGTTGTTGGCATTAAATAACCCATTAATGTAGATATGCCGGAAAACAAAATAAACCAAACCAATCTAAACGAAAGAATACATATACTATTCATACGAATCTATCCTAAAAATGTTGTTGGCATTAAATAACCCATTAATGTAGATATGCCGTAAAACAAAATAAACCAAACCTAACCATACCAGCCCCTGACCTGCAAAACTGACGGTACTCTATATTTGGTAATCGAAAAGAAAATATTATTCTCCTCATTAAAGAGGTATTCTTCAGCAAAGTATGTTTGAATATATATATATATATATATATATATATATATATATATATATATATATATATATATATATATATATCAAGTATAGCATTGGTGCATACGGAATGAATTCAATAACCAAAAAATATTATTCTTAATAGAGTGCTCAATACAGAGTAGAGTAAATATAATTATTTATTCGAAAATAATAACATATATATGTTCTGAAATGAGTATTTTTGTAGTGATTTGATAACTTAATTATGTTACAATTTTCGTATAAATAATTATATATATATATATATATATATATATATATATATATATAGTAATATTTTTTACAAAAATGTATTGCTGGTAATGATGTATTGCGGGTAATAATTTTATTTCCTTCAAAAATACATTGCTGGTAATATTTTTACAAAAATGTATAGCTTTTATTAAAACATATTTTTGCACTTGCATAGAGTTTTGACCCTAATGTGGGATTAAATATTTACTCATAGCTTGGACACTAAAAGGTACTATCACTCATGATCAGGGTGGACCTGGAAACACCAGCAATTATGAGGTGGCTACACGCTCTTCAAAACCTCCTGATCAGAGGTTTATCATCTTACGCATGAAGCGGATGTATTTTATCATTGTACCCAGAATGCGGATGTAGTTTATCGTCATACCCAGTTCGGTATATATATATATATATATATATATATATATATATATATATATATATATATATATATATATAGAAAGAGAGGAGAGAGAGAGAGAGAGAAAGAGAGAGAGAGAGAGATTGACCAACAGCCCAGAGACCAGCACATATGATTTGATTATAATGGTGAAGGCTTTGTGCAGAAACAACGACTCTTTCTGATGGGCCGAATACAAAGAACTGTTGCACTACGTGCGACAAGTTCCACAAACGACAACTCTACAGGTTTTGAATTCAGATTTGTCCTTCTTCTAGGCCACTTGACATCCATAGAACCCAGTCTGTCCTGCTATTTACCCATAGCTGGAGGGAGAAGAGGATTAATACCTTTCCCAAGAGTATTAGCACGTAAGTGATTGTAATGGATTTATCTGATTACACACACACACACACACACACACACACACACATATATATATATATATATATATATATATATATATATATATATATATATATATATATAGCAATCCTTCGTTTAGGCATGTTTCATTAAAATGACAGACATGGTACTTCAGGTTTTTTTTTTTAATTAATTTTTCTTGTGTTCGAACTAGAGCTTTCTTTTCTGGACGATGAGTATGTAAAATCTCTCCAAAGTTTTACATTTCCGAGCGATTTCAGCTATGCCTTTAGCCCTTATGAAGGATGATTCAATTTTTCAGCTTAATTGAGTGTGGACATTATGTGTATGTTTTAGTGTGTTGTAGAGCCTTTTTTAATTTCCGGATACGGTTGCAGATTGTGGCCTTGTTCGCAGTTAATATTGCTAAGATTTGGATTGTTCTTTTTTATCATTAATAATAAAAAAAAAAGAAAAGGGAAAATCTTAACAGCATTCTCGACAGCGTGTATCTTAAGAATCACTGAACGCCCTTTGATTTATTCAGTTACAAATGAAGAGGTTAAATTATTTTTGTCAGCTACACTATGTCTTCCCAACTTAGCAATGGTGAAAAGAAATAGCATCATTTATGCCTTCAGTAATGGTGGCAACATTCATTCGCTGGCTTCCATTTTCAAAGTCTATTCAAAAACCATCAAGAGTACGGTGAATAAGTTTAAAGAAAAGGGAACAGTATTGAGGAAAACTGGATCAGAAGGTCACATCAGCAATGGGGATCATAATTTCAACATATAACTAAATAAATTATTATTGTTCAAAGTAGAGTCAAATCGTGTTATAAAAACTTCGAAAAATTCCAGTAAAATAGCTTTAATAATTTCTAAGTTACATCTGTCCAAAGCTTAATTTAACAATTGGACAACTTTGCTGTTACATGATCTGTACAATTTTGCTGCCACGCAAGCTATGTATAGAATATATAAAGGCACGTGGCCGAGTTATTAAAATCTTAGTATCTCACCATCGTCATGTGTCACGGCTGCCTAAAACCATGCCGCGTGCTGTTTAAAAATAAACGATGTTTGTGTTCGGACGAAGCAACAAATTGCCATTACCAATTTTTACACAGTTCTGTCATTGTCCAAACGTTGATCATTCCAGATTATGCGCTTACTACATAAAACTCAAACGTTTGCTGGGCGTACATATTTGCTGTATAAACCACAATTGTGCACTGTTGAAAAAAAACGGAAATGTTCATAAGCGGGTGTCTGCAACAGATATTAGATAACCAATCTAACAGACAGGTATACTTGGAAACAAGTGGGCAACATGGCATTGCGTGAGTGTATACGAATCGACTTACGCCCATATTGGGAATACCGGTATCCAAAGTTAAGCATTTGTCCAG